TTAGAGATCATTTATTTTCATTGCATGAATATATCTCACCTTCTAAATTCGTTCTTCTGAGAGTGGGCATGTGCAAAGGCTCTGAGGCAGAGTGAGCTTGGTTTTCCCATGCAGCAGCAAAGGGGCCAGTGTACTACAGCACAGTGATGAGGGTAAGAGTGGATAACAGATGCAGTGAGAGAGGTAGATGAGACTAGAAGATACTATCTCGCAGGACATGGTTACATCTTGCTCACATAAACTTTTAAAGCATCAAAAGTTGTTCCTTTAATAGATGATTATTGGTGAGTTTTTCCCCTTTTTTATTAGTCTATGTATGTGGTACATAATAAATACATTATTGGTGGGGATTTGGCATATCCCTAAGCTGAAAATCTGAAATCTAGAATGCTCCAAAATCCAAAACTGTTTGAGGGCTGACGTGGTGCCACAGGTGGAAAATTCTGCACAATAAAGCTTTGTTCCATGTACAAAATTATTTAAAACTACCTTCAGGTTGAAGATATAAGGTGTATATGAAATATTAATGGATCTTGTGGTTAGACTTGAGTTTCATCCCCGGGATATCTCATTATATACATGCAAATATTCCAAAATAATTTTAAAAACAAAAGAGAAACCCCAAACCATCAAATCCGAAACACTTCCTATCTCAAACAGATAAGGGATGCTTAACCTATGATCTTCATCACTGCACCGCTGTGTAGAATTGGAGTGGTGATGCATACACAGCACCTTGAAGAGGCCAGGTTTCAGGCCTCTCTCTTCTTCCTGGCATTCTTTTCTAGCCTGTGTTGGTTCTCCCATCGCCATCTGTCAGTGCATGTCCAGACCCATTCCTGAGGACCCTGGACAGATTGGGCAGAAGGACTGGTCAACAGTTCTGGAGGTAGCTCTCATGAATATAGAAAAACAGTATCCCTGTGGTGTGTCTTAGGTCTTGAAGGCCCAGTGATGTTCATGGGGTTCACAGGTGAATGATGCTAGAGCTAAAGGAGGCAATGTGTGCATGTATTTTCCCGAACAGTAGATTGTCAGTTCCCTGTGCATATTTTCCAGGCTGAAACCCAGCCTGGTTAGCTTGCTATTTACTTTCTAGCCAGAGATAGCTCTTGTTTGGCTTCACGAAGCTGCTTCCATTCTTGTCTCTTTGATAGGGCATGTACCCAGTTCACGGATCCTTCACATACTGGGGACAGAGCTGGTATGGGGGAAGCAAGGATGAGATGAGGTGGTGAGTTGTTAGACTAGCCTGACATCTTGCAAAATTAGTTGTCTGAAATATTATTTAGGCTTTAAAAAGGACATTCTGACACAATTCCAACACTGATGTACCTTGAGTATAGTCTGCTGAGTTAAATAAGCCAATTACAAGAAAGACAAATATTGTATGATTCCACTTATGTGAGGGACCTAGAGTGGTCAAATTCATAGGAACAGAAAGCAGAATGGGAGTGGCTGGAACCCGGGCAGTCAGAGAATGGGGAGTTAGGGTTTCATAGGTACAGGGTTCCAGTTGGGGAAGATGGAAAAGTCTTGGAGGTGGACGGTGGGGTTAATTGTAAGACCATGTGAATGTACTTAACACCACTGAACTGGACACTTCAAATGGTTGAGACAGTAACTTTTAGGGGGGTGTATTTTACCATAATTTTAAAAAGTGGAAAAAAAAAAGTGATCTGACCTCTGTTGAGAGAAAATCCCGGTGTGACATGATGCTGTTTGTGTGTAACGCCATAGACATCTATGTGTGGCGAATGTGCACCACTGTGGAAGGGTTGCTACAGTTCTCAGATGGTGGTTAGTTCTTGAGAGATCCTGGGGAGATAGGGAAGGGAGGGGGGATGTGAGGCACAAGTTGTATGTCTTGCATTTTATTTCTTTTCTTTTTTTTTTTAAAAGACATCTGTGGCAGCCATGACAAAGCACTTACTTCTATGAAATCAGAGTAGTGGCTACATGGATGTCTGTGACATTATACATATTGAAATATTTCATAATTTAAAAGAGAAGATATAAAATAAGCAGTGAGATAACTGGAACCCAGTGGATTCTGTTAGATGTTCTTGTTTTCTGTCTGTCTTTCCAAATTCTCTTCTTCTATTCTAGTTCTTCATGTCTCACCTTCATGTTCTTTTTGTGGCACAATGCAGTTGATTCATCAAGAGTAAATAATATTGACAGTCATCTAAGAGATCGAAACGTCCTTTAATCCTCAGAAAATTTGGCTCTTTTCCAATCGCCCTAATGTCCCCTCTGCACTGAAGTGTTTTTACAGTTGGCTTGTTGGGGGCATGTCTGATTCTCAGACATGCTTGTGTCTCTCACACAGGGATTTATATACATGTACTCTTTGTAGGTGTTTAATGAATCAAAATGTTTACATGGGCAACTCTAATTCCAGTCACATTAACTAGGCCTACTAACCTTATTCTGGCCTCCAAAGAAGTCTTTCCCTTAGGTCTAGAATGCCCAGCTGTATTCCCTGGCAGGGGTTGGGGTGTTATGGCATTAGTGGCTAATGTCAACTCCATGAAAACAAGGGGAACGCTGAGTCAAGTGAGTTCAGGGCCAAATTCACCAATTCTGGAATAGAGCTGCCTTATTCAGAAGAAGTGACAGCTGGTCGCTGCTACATAGGTGTGATACATAGGTGATAGACATGGATTTGGTTTTCAACAACTGACCCAACAGTATGTTGCTAATACTGTACTAGGGAAGAAATTCTAACTTACGTCATCCAGGAGAAATGGCATGGTGCCTGGAATCTTATAGACACCCGATAAAAAGCACTCATCTGTTAACCAAGGCCTGACAGCTTCCAGGCCAAAAATGGTTGATGGGTTTGGACTCATTTGATCCTGGGACACAGGCACTGAGCTTTTCACTATTGTTTCCCCAACTCATCAGCCTGGTTCAGCCCGCAGTGTTTCCTGTCATGACTGAACCCAGTGATTTAACTTGACGGGTACCTGTGGTTCATCCTTCCACTCTGCTTCCTAGATACCAGGTGTTGTTCTAAGATATTCACATTCACTAATGTGCCTATTCTTCCAGCTCTTTAAAACAGGAGGACTATCATTCCCATTTTACAGATGAGAAAACTAAGGCCTAGGGAGACAAAGTGATCCGTCCAAGGTGAAAATGAGGAGCTAGGATTTATAGGCAATTTTTCTGGCCCCAGAGTATAAAGTTCTTACATAGAGAAATATCAGTCTCTAAAAGAGAATAGATATATGAAGAGATTACTTCAATAAGGTGAAGAATGAAAATGCAGCTCTCTCATAGCACAGGTGGATAAGAATGAGACCCTTTAGTTCTGCTTCTTGATCCGCAGCATTGGTCGCATGGGAATACTCACTTTCTGAAGATTCTTCATGCTGTACGTATGATTCCTGTACTTTTCTCTTTGTGTGTTATACTATAATATATTTGACTTTTTAAAAATGTAAAAGCATAAAAAGTTAAAGGGAAGCGCAGTGCCGTGGGAGCTCAGAGGAGGCAGCGAACTTGGCCTCGAGCCGCGGTGACCCCCGGCCTTCTGTCCTACCCGAGGGTCCAGACAGACCAGCTCCTCTCTCCACGCTGCGACCCTAGCTCTCCGACTTCTCTCTTCCGAAGCCAGAAAACTCATTTCTTCGGTGGCATCTTCCGCTGCAGTCTCCCCAGGTACCTTCCCCCCCGCCCCCAGGAGAGAATGAAGTTTTTCTTCGGCAGCGTTTTCAGTGGATTTCCTTTCCTCTAGAATCAGAGTTGACTGGATACCATGACAGTCAGGCAGGATCTACTCACAAAGGGTGACAGACCACATAAAACAACCTGCACCTTGCAAAGGACAGAGGCTGTTGGGGACAAACGCTTCTGGGTGAGGAAATGGCCAAGGGAACCCCGAGGCTATTTCAGCAAAAATCCGTTTTATATCTCTTTAAATACACTCGGTATTATACAACACAACATTCCATGGGACCAGCATTTATTAGACAGGCACTCGACTGGAAAGCCAAACATGAAGGAGTGAACTGGATTTCTCCCCTTTTTCTATGACAGCATAATTTTTATGGTTGAGCACAAACAGATTGAGTGTTTTATTGGAAGCAGTCACCTTTTTTCAGAAATGACATATTTACTAAACATTTAAGTACAACTTTAAAAACCTACTCTGAGCTGGGACATGTTCAAGGTTGTTAGAATTCGACAACCAGTTTCCCCACCTCCACCTCCCTCACAAGCCCTCAAATTAATGTGTCTGACAACCTGTGGTCTCAACCATGCATTAGCTTAAAATGCAAGATGAAATGATATGATATTGTAACTGAGCACACTGGAAAATCCACTGGCTCAGATAAGACTTGCACTTGGCAGTGTTTATTTTTAGAAGCAAAAATGTCTGGCAATTAAGCATTTGTTAACTGTGATAAGATGTCATTCCATTTGATTATGTTTTCAGTTTCTCTATCCTTTGACTATCTTTCCAAACTAATTTACTGTAGGTAGAAATTATGAAATTCCAAAGAAAAATATTTTTAAATAACGAAACATTTAAAAATCTCTATTTTCTTGATGAAAATGAAAAAGAAAGCATGAGATAGTACACATGCCTTATTTTTTGTGTTGACTAGGAGGAAAATTCTGGGCTTTTCTGTCAATAAATCTTTCTGGCCAAGATAATTTGTATATATTATAAAGGCTTTCTGTTCCCTTTCTTCATCTTTTCTTCCCCATAATAGTTGGCACATTCCCCACATTCTTAACTATCAGAAAAGCTTAAGGAGCTCATTTATACTAGAGTGTCAATGTTCAATATCTTTTGTAAGAGTTATCTGACTTAAAGATAGTGGTATACAGGAATGAGAGGCTAAAGCCCAAGATGTGAAGGGTGGGATGGGGAATGGAAGGTTTACTCAGACTACAGTCTTCAAAGCCCACCCCAGAAATGTGTATTGTGGATACAAGTGTCCGGCTCAGCTGCATGTGCACACATGGCAGCCACTGCCTTCGGGCTAGCACACAGACACCTTGCCTGGGACACTTGGTGGCAGGTGTCTAGTGACCTTCAGAACAGCATGTCCAGCAGGGCTGGGAGCACCTCCTGGAGCCCAAACACTCTGTGAAGCCTCAGGCACTGGGAGGTTATGCTGAGGCTACAGTGGGCTCTTCTGTGCCTTCTGCTTCTGTCTGGATTCCAGGCAGGCGGCTGTGTACCTGCTCATGACCATGAGGGACACAGCCATGCAGAGGGTGAAAGAAGCCCAGGCGAGGCTGCCAATAAAAGGCACAGTTAGGGAGGGGCCTCGGCTGTGCTGGCAGGGATTCCTTCGGGGTCAGTAGGGTGAAAACCATCTCCTGGTTCTATCCAAATTCAATCTGTAGGTTCTACTTCAAGTTCAATCACAAATTCCATGGCCCAGCCAGTATGTTTTACAGATCAGTGGCTAAGAGGACAGATTCTGCCGTCCTTTTGCAGGGTTTGCACCAAAGCCCCACCCCTTAGTGTCTATGTGACCTTGAGCTGGTTAATTTACCTGTTTGTACCAGATTCCTCATCTGTAAAACTGGGATAATATCAACTCTGTCACACAGGGTTGAATCTAGGAATTCAACAAGCCAGTGTGTGGGGAGTATTAAGTGTGGTATCTGCTACATGTGTTACTTTTCGCCCTTAGCTTTACTCCAGGACATATATCCCCATCTAGGCTGGAAGCCAGTTGCTTTCTGAGATGACGGTCTATTCTTTGCCTGCTACATGGAACCCAGCACTGAGTTGATATGGTAATTAGCATCTGCTTGATTCCAAAGAGTGTTTAAATGTTTGATTATTATGAGATAGAGAGAAGGGGTGTGTGGTGGCCAAGAAGCCAATTTAGAAAAGATGACCAATGTGTAGAGCTAAATAGACACACTTCTGGGTGGATAATAACAATAATTAAGCCAGGCATGGTGGTGCATGCCTGAAATCCCAGCACTCGAGAAGCTGAGGCAGGAGGATTGCTGGGCATTTGAGGTCACCCTGGGCTACATAGTCAGCTCAAGGCTAGCCTAAACTACACAGTGAGATCCTGTCTCAAAAACAAAACAAAATAAAACAAAAAAAAAATAATACTTTTGTACGCCAGATGTCACTGGCTTATCTAAAGTAACATCAAAGCCATCCTTGTTGGGGGTACTATCATGACCCTCATTTTACAGATGATGAAAGAAAGAGAGAAGTTAGTCATCTTGTCCACAATCTTCTTTTAGAATATGGGACATCTGGATCTGGCTCAGACCCCGTGATCCCAGAGACAGCTGGCTCCTTCTCTGGCCTTTGCTGCATCCTGGTACTCTATGCTTGGTTAACCAGGGACATCCTTTGGAGATCTGGTTGAAGCCTGGCTTTGTTCAATGTTTTCATTATTCTGATTGGAATGGGAGCAGGAATAGGAAAATAGTTGAAGGTAAACCCTGACAGTGGGAAAATATCATTTGGGGGAGAAGTTCCAACTATTCGCAGAGGATGCTGTGTTCTGTGCTCTTAGATAAAATTCAGGACAAGAGAAGGAGAATTTCATCCAGTGTCTTATGATCCCACCAGGCAGATTGGCTGCTGCAAAGGCCAAAATGTGATAAAATGCTTTGTGGCATGCAAAGACGTGAGCGAGAGGGACTTCTAGGGTTAAGGAAAGGTTGAATTCAAGGCCCATTCCTGCCCTCTGTATCCCAAGGAAATGAGAACCCTGGTGGTGAACACACAGGGAGAAAGAAAATTGGAGAGGAGATGTGGGAGGCTGGAAGGCAGCTGGCAGTGGGATGACTAACTCACGGGAGAGATGGTGCACATAAAACACCTACAGAATAGGCTCCCACAAGATAAGGAGGAAGTCTTTTGGATTAGCCCAACTGAATCCTTGAGAAGCTCAGTACTTTGAAGCACACACACACAGACACACACACACACACACAAATCAGGGCATTGATTAAATGTATATATAGATGGTTGGTCCTAGGTATCCTCCAAACACGTTCCCCCTCTTTCCTCTTTCCCCAAGGGAGCAAAGGTTTATTCTCTAGAGAAGGTGAGCAGGAGCAAACCCTCAGAGACAATAGGCCCAGTAGAAGGCAAAGGAAAAACCTGGTCTGAAAACAGAAGGTTCATGAAAATTTGTATTTGGATTGGGAAGCTTCCCAGCCCCTTTCTTATGGTTAACCTTAGAAATCATTAGTGAGGCACACAAGCTCACCCCACTTTCTGCAAATCTGGGAGATACTGAGAGATTGCAGAGAGAGAACCTTCACAAACTGACATGTATGTGTTTTTATGGGGTGGAATTTCCAAATAAAACAGCTGGCCCTATACCTAATCACATTTAAAAAGAGCCTATCAGTAGGTAAATTCCAACTTCACTCAAGAATTTCCAGTTATTTTTAAATATGACTTGACAGTCAAGGGCACCAAGATCTGGAAGAAAGGCCCAACCACATACAGAAAAGAGAATTTTAAAGGCAAAAGATAATGGGAGAAACTAAAATAGCAATAAAAAGAAAACTTTAGTCAATATCTTTAGAAGCACGTGAAAATGCTTCATCCACAAAGCAAAGCAAAGAACAATTAAACCCCAAGGAAGAGCTTTCAGGACTTAAGACCCCAAATAATTCAGCTGAAAGGTTAGAAGATAAGCAGAGGAAAATTTTTCAGAAAGCATAACAAAGGAGAAAAAGATACAAAATATAAGAAAGCAATTAGACATTTCAATAATTAACCAAAGAAACCCAATATCTAACTATCAAGAATTCTCTAAAAAGAGAACAGAACACTGAGGAAGGGAAATAATCAAAGAAATAATACAAGAAAAATATCCAGAATTCTAGGACATGAATGTTCAGAAGGGTCCACCAAGCACAGGAAAGAAGAATGAATGTAATGTGAAGAAAATCCCCACCAAAGAACATTATCCTGACATTTCAGAAGAAAAGAACCAACAAAGATATGTGAATCAGAATGGTATTGGACTTTTGACAGTAATAATAAATGCTGGAAGAAAACAGAGCAGCATCTTCAAATTTCTAAGGGCAAAGAGTTTCAACAAAGAATTCTGCACTCTGCCAAATGATTAAATATGGAGCATTGAACAAATACATTTCCAGATATGCAAGGAATAAAATAAGTGTTCTCTCATTGAATCCTTTCTTAGGGGTCTGTTGGAGGATGTGTTCCCACAAAATGTGGCAATAAAGTAAGTAGGCTAATGCTGTGGAACAATGATGTCTCCATTTCTTGAGGACTTTACTGTACACTAAAGATTTTATAACAAAACCTCTTTAAATCCCTATGAAAACATTTGAGGCAGGTATTCTTACTTTACAGATGAGGCAGCTGGGCTACAGAAAGTAACAAAACTTACCCAAAGTTATAAAAGTAGAAGGTGTCAGCACAATGACCACTGTCAATTGTCCTCCAAAAACCTATGTGCATCTCTGCTGGTCCATCAAGGTTTGAGCTCCATGAACAAGTAACTTACCAGTATGACCAGCCATAGTCCCACATCCGAGGCTTCCAATCTTCTGGTCCATGGTTCACAGTAATTTGAAAAATAGTTGTGTACATCACATGAATCACCATGCCTGGGAGCTCTGAATAAGGAAAGCTTGGTGAGCCGCAATTAAGAGTGAGAAACACAGTGGAAGAGTTTCTCTACCTTGTGCGAGTCAATGTTAGTTCTCCAGCATCCATAAAGTCCTTATGATGTATCTATACCTGCACATCCTTTTAAACATTTCATCTGGCACCTTGTGTCTGCAGTTGAAACTGAACAGCTAGAAAGAGGTCTAATCACAATTTGGGAGGATCTTGGTGGCTGCCACATTCTGATAGGTAATTTAGAGAAGCTAAGTAAATAGTCCAGGACCACAAAACCAGTAAGAAGCAGAGATCTGAACCTGGCAGTCTTCCTCCACAGACTCATGCTGAAACTATTTTGCTAAATGAGAAGATTTCTGTTCCCAGATGCAGCACACCCCCTTCCCTGGTTGTGACAAGGATGTGCTGATGAGTTTACTCTCCATCTATGCCTATCCACTTTCTTTTCATCAGTCACTTAAAGCAACATTGCTTCCATGCAGTGGCATTAATTCTGTGACTTTCCAGGGGATGTTGTCCAGATGAGTTGACCTTGACAGGAGGAAGCCAGTCTGTTCTTTATCAGTGGGTGCACCACCCTGAAACACTGTGCTTCTTATAGGGCAGGCAGTGGGTAATCTGCATGTTCTAATGATGCTGCTGGGAAGAACCTGCGAGCACCATAAGGATGGCTACTGAGGCATCCACCTTGAGCCAGTTGAACCCAGGGCTGTGACAACTCACTCTAGAGTCCAGGAGGATGGCACTTGTCAGCATCAGAAAGATATCCAGGACTTCAGCCCCAATGGAGAGCCACAACACACCTGCCAAAGGAAAGAAATGTTGGGCATTTGAATTCAGAAGTAGTGGAAGATTTAAGCCTTGGATTCAGTTTACTTCTGTATTAGTTCATTTGCTGTTACTGTAACAAAGTACCACAGCTGGTAGTTTATAAAGAAAAAGGGTTGATTTGGCTCACAATTTTGGATGCTGAATGTCCAAACAACATAAACCTGGTTATTGTAAAGTCACCCTTTAATGCATTATATCATGGTGGGTGGCATCATGATCCCTCATATATGACAGGAAGAGACACATGGCAATATAGGAAGCCAGAGAGAGATGGGGAGAGGCTGGGCTTGCTCCTTTGTAAGAACTCTCACAAGAACTAATTCAGAGTTGCATGAGAACTACACTAATCCCTTCTTAGTGCAGGACCCAAGTTACCATAACACAAACTGGTATTCAGCACCTCTTAAAGGTTCTTTATCACCTCTCAGTAGCACTGCACAGGGGATCAAACTTCCAACGCATGAACTCCTGGCAGACACACTCAGACCATATGGAACCATAGTGACTTTTATAGCAAATCACAAAAAGCCTTGGAGTAAAAATCACAGACGCCTCTGTTGCATCTTGGAAGGCTGGCAAATAAAAGAGGCTCCAAAGGCCAGAAAGGGATGTTTGTACAGATTCGCCATAGTTGGAATGGAGAAAAACTAAGTAAATTTCCAATGTGAGGGCATGAAAGACTCTAAGGGTCTCCACTCCCCAGTTCAAAAGGTAATATATTGTTTTGATTCCATCAGAAAATATTGTCTCTATCTTTTTTAAGAAGATACACAAACTTAAAGATGAGGACAGAAGAGCCTGAGAGTTGAAGAGCCCTATTTAGAAGCCCCAAGACCCTACGTGTCTCTATGCAAGCTGCTTGTTCATTTTCTGATGGGATCCTGCCTGCTGTTTTCAGGAACTACATTGGACACGGAGTGAATGTCCATTGGGTAAAGGGGATGAGAAAGGAAACTTACTTTTATAAAAGTAAGTTAGGAGAGGGGATATAGCAATAAATGAAACAAATGTGATCTATTTTGTACTTTTGCAAAACCTCTATTCCAGCTGGGAAAACAGATACTATGAAAGTAATTACAACTTTAATGAGTAATACAATGCAGATAAAGTGCTATAAGCAGGGATATACTAGATCTGGTCTGTGATGGTTTATATCTAAATGTCTCCCCCAAAGGCTTATGCACTCACAAGCAGGGCATTTGTGAGGTGATTGGCTCATGGGGGCCTAGAGCAAAATGTGATGTTAGGAGGTGGAGCCTGGTTGGGAAGGGACAGGTCACTGGGGATGTGACCTAGAAGGGGTAGATCTCCCTCCCTGGCACCTCCTTTCACATTCTGCTTCGCAGCTGCCATGATGTGAGCAGCTTTCCTAGCCCAGGCCCTTCCAGCATGACATTCTGCCTTGGAGCTGGTCAACTAAGGACTAAAAACATAAAATAAACCTCTCCTCCTTTCAGTTATGGGTATCAGGCATTGTGTTTCAGTTATGTGAAAGTGACTAAGACACAGTCTCTTCCTGTCTCTGACTTCACCTCACATGGATAGCTTAAAATTGGCCACGATGGGACTATTTCCACCATAGCAAGTGGGAGATACTACCAATTAGGGCTTCCCCTGCCCCTTGCAAAGTGAATCTTTTACATATGCCAGCACACCGGGGCTATAGGGCTCATGAAGAGAGCATTTGCCTCTGGCTTTTGGACTTGACTTCAGAGAAAAATGACAAATACCTGTTTCATCTTTTCCCACAACAAATAATAAAATAAAATAATAAAAATTAAGAATAAGGGATTTACCTTGTTCCTCAGCTGGTATTATACTCTGGAAACTTACATTGCTCACCTAAAAGGTAAAGATATTGCAGCCATAAGTAGGGTTAAATGTGACACTAAGGGAGAAACTGGTGTTTCCAGCTCTTTAACTGCATCATAGTTCATTTTGAATAAGGAAAGGAGAGTGTGGAAGACTACCTTTGTGCTCATAGACATGTGGTTCCTTCTCTGTGGGTATGGTACATCTGCTTTATTGAGTTCCTTGTTATGGTTTGGATAAAAATGTCCCCCCAAAGTCTCATGTGTTCAGAGGCAACGTTTTGGAAGGTGATTAGATCATGGGAGAACTAGCCCTATCAGTGGGTTAGCCCATTGATGAGTTTATAGCTGAATGTGTTGTTAGAAAGTGGGGTTTGGTTAGCGGAATCAGGTCATTGTGGGTGTAGCCTGCAAGGGTGCATTCTTGTTCTTAGCTATTCACTCTCTTTCTGGATCTTTCCAATGTTCTCTGCTTTCTGATTGCCATGAGGTGAGCAGCATTTTCTGCTACGCCCTCCCACCACGATGATTTTGCTTTGCCACATGCTTAAAAAGTAATGGAGCCAGCCAACCATGGACTAAAACCTCTGAAACCATAAGCCAAAATTAATCTTTATTCTTTTAAGTTGTTTATGTCAAGTATTTTGTTACAGTGACCAAAAAAGTGACTAATACAATTAGACTTGGACATATGATCGCTACCAATGAATTGGGAACAAAAATGGGGTGGGTCACTGCTGGTCAGAAGCTTTAAGAGCCAATGCATTGTTTTTCTGGTTCTTGTTCCTTTGCCTCTATAACTACAGAAGCACATGTCAAGATGATGTTTCCATCAGCCTGGGTTTCTGAATGACTAAAATGAGGACACTTCTTGATAAAATGAAAAGTAAATATAAAACGAGCTAGATATAAATGTGTTGATTTAAATGACTGGAATTTTGAGGGTTGTTTGTTATTGCAGTACATCCTAGTCCATCCAGGCTGATATTGAGAGCCTTAGACCAAGTATTCTTAACTTGTGAGACAGCATTCATTATTATATGAATCTCAAATATGTTGTTTCTGATTAAAGATGGTTAAAGGAAAAGTATCACAATTTGTAGTTTTTTGTGAAGTAGAGCAGATACAGAAATGTGTCTGTTTACTAAGACCCTTAGTTTGTAAGTGGCTCAGTGTCTTGAAATCCACCATGATTTCTTGACTGAAAGAAAAGGAGTTGGTGTGTGTGTGTGTGTGTGTGTGTGTGTGTGTGTGTACATACATACATGCATGCTAGATATGAGCAGGACCTATTTTTGTGTGTTTAGTTATTGCTAAAGGCAAGTACAAGTATTTCTATTTTGGAGATTTGGAGGCCAGGTCCAAACAAGTTGGTAGAGACAAGAATTGAAAATGGAGTTTCCCTACCTGGGAATCAGTACCTTTTTCTATAACACCACCTACTATCTCTCTACCTACTGCATGGAGGAGTGTATTAGTCTATTTTCTTTTGCTATAATAAAATACACTAGACTGTGTATTTTCTGAAGAAACAGTTTTGCTTAACTCACTATACAAGAGCATGGTGTTAGCTTCTGCTCATCTCTGGTGAGATTATTCTAGCTATTTTAACAACATGGTGGACAGTATCATGGTGAGAGTATATACAAGAGGGAGAAAGTAGCCACATTGCCAGATGGGAAGCATGAAAGATTCAAGAGCCAGATTTGCTCTTTTTATAAGAACCTACTCTCTTGGAAACTAACTAGGGTCCCATGTGAACTACATTAATCCATTCTGAGGGTGGCTCCCCAATGACCTAATCATTCTTCACTAGGCTCCACCTCTCAAAGATTCAACCACTCTAATACCACCACACTGGGGACCAAGTTTCCAGCACACAAAGCTTTGGGGGACACACTCAAGCCATGTCCAAACTATAGCAAGGAGTAAGGGTCTTTTTTTTTTTTTTAAAAGGGGGGGTACCTAGGGGCCTGGGAATTAACTCAGTGCTTCCACCGCCTGCCTCGCAAGCACAAGGTCCTGAGTTTGATCCCCAGTACCAAAAAAAAAAAAAAAAAAAGAGAGAGAAGGCTACCTTTTCCAACAAAATAAAGAGGCCAAGAACAGAGCCAGGGGCAGAGAACAGGGAGAATGACAGCCAGGCAAGCGGATTAAGATAATTCCCAATAGCTTAGAAGGGTGAGATTAGCTTCAGCCCAAAGAGTCTGACCATATTGACCCCTTGATTAACATGAATCCTCAGAAATGATGTTCATTTTGAATAAAGCCAGCAGGATTAAAAGGAAAAATCTTTATAAATCCCACAAAGCCAGAGAAGCGGCTGTTACATAGCTTGGCAGTGTTTTGGTGGTCAAGTGGCACGGAAGGCCAGCACTGAGACATGGCATCCAAGTCCTTGGAGCTTGACTCTTCCACCCCCTGTCTGCGCATCCATCCCCCTGGTCACTCACGCACCCCTCATGGCTGCTCATGTCCTTCTCTCCTTGAATTTTTTGAGCTTAGCAGAATAATGTAAAATCTAAAAATCACATTTTGATGATTAATGGACTTGCCTAAGAAAAAGAGCATCTAAGCAATGGCCCAACCAGAACTTTTCATTTCAAATCTTCATTTCAGGATGTGGAAGGAGAGGCAAGTTTCCCTTTTGGGAAGAAAGGGTTGAACTATTAGAGGTGTCAGAAATGGCATTCCAGGTAAGGGCTTCCTGGGAGAGTCAACATTTAGGGAGAAGGAGCTGATTCTGAAGGAAAATCCCAATGAGTCCCATAGGGCAGCAGAGCAGAGGGTACTGGGACAACCAGAAATCCTTTTCCTGGCCTGTTTAGGGCAGAGTGTCTTTCACAGACTGGAGTTCTTACTGCTAGCAAAACTGAGCTCACTTCGCCCCTCCTGACCCTCTCCACTGCATGTTTGGGCTCTGTCCCATTTGTCTCCAGCCTAATCCTTTCCTTTCTTGTGCCCCAAATGTCACAGGCCTTTGTGATAAATTAGACTGAACACCAGATGATCGTGTGGTAAATTCTCCAATGGGGGCTCCCAGGCTACACTCCAGTGCAAACATACATTCTTGGGCTCATACAATGTCCTAAAGATATTTTTAAAATGGGAATTTAACCAAAATTCCAAATATCTTGCTTCTTGTGAAAAATCAGATCTGACTACAGTGGGCTCATCAGTACAAATGACCTCAAAGGTGAGCTGAATAAGAGGTTGTCCCTTTGGCCAGGTGTGAAGTTTCAACGTCATTGTCAATCCTAGCTGCTTCACCTACTTTTACTTCTTTTTTTATTTTTAAAAAATTTTTTGGTACCAGGGATTGAACTCAGGTCATTGCACTTGTGAGGCAGGAGGCGGAACCACTGAGCTAAATCCCTGGCCCTACCTCTATTTTTTTTTTTCCATTAAGTTTATTGGTACATTTTAGGTATAAAACACAGTTGCATTCATCATTGGGATCTTGTACCATTACATGAGTATCTTGGTTCTTATTTTTTTCCCCATTCTCCTGCCCTCCCTTCACCTCCTAAA